TATATATATATATAGATATGTGTGTGTGTGTTAGGCTGTTTTCAGGCCCAGGCCTCCCTTACAAGAGGTTTGATCTCAGTGGAATTTGTCTGGTTAATTAAAGGTTAATAAACAATAAGAGGCAGCAAAGACCAGTTTCTGATCCCAACATTTCTTGTTTGAGCTCAGTGCTTGATGATTCACTGCAGTCTGTCAAACCACAGCATCAGTGTGTAAATTGTGTTGACTGAATCCTGACACTTATTTCCTTAACCACATTTACCTGAAATAGAAGATCAACAAATACTCCCTGAAAGGTCTATTTAGGAAGTATTTGTAGAGCTGGCAACTTGTCCAATCCCATTAAAAAGGGACACACAGGACATTACAGACATGTTCTCTTGTGAATGTTTGCATCTGGTAACAGCATGTGTCTGTTCACATCATACAAATGCTGTTTGGATCAGTGGTGATGTTTAATGTGACACTGCCACCAAGTGGTTTAACCCATAAATACAMCTTCATACACAGTGAAGTGAAAAGTCTTTTCACAGTCGATGACACACTGTTGGGATTTCTTTAATAAACATTTGCCAAAAAAAAAGACAAGGGAGGGGTGGGGCAGATTATCCTAGTACAAAAAAAAAGTAATTTCACTTTATCTTAACTCCGATAATGTTTTTGCTTTTTCTCGTGATTTTACACCTACAGCCAAAAAAGGGGAATTTTAATTAAAAACAACCTTTCTTCATGATTTCTGCAGTAGTACAAGTGCTACCAGTCTTTGTTCTCACATAGCTTCATGCGCCTGTGTCCAATCCACCAACCCAATCCAGCGAGCCATCAATAACTACATCATCTTGGCTAAAAAAAGACATTATCAGTCAAAAGTTTAATAGGCAGACATCCCATATCCATTTTCTTTCATAGTCAAAATAGTTTCTGCCTACTTCTGTCAGTAGTGCAAAACATTAATACTAATCTGCCTTGAAACATTACAGAAAGGGCTAAGGTAGAGATTAAAATTTACCTGGCCTGACGATGTACATCCAAAAAAGATAAAAGTTTAATTTAAAAGATAGCAGAATAGATTACAAAAAATATGAAAAGCTCATTGGGTGTTATTTAACTATCCTTCTGCAACATATTCCAGATTAAGGAAAAAAAAAGAATACAATGCTTTACACAGATTTAAGTTAATAAAACTGAATGTGCATTTCCAGATCCTTCTAATCTGGCCTAAAAAAGGCTTTGGGTTCAAAGTGGAGTCTTTTAGCCTTTTGTTCTTTGTTGCATTCAAAGTTTCCAGTCTTTCAGAAAGGCAGCCCTCGTCCTCTGATTGTTGCTGTAGAGTTTACATGTGGAAGGAAGCCAAACGGGAGAGGCGGGGTCCCCACTTGTGATGGGGAGCCCCAGGGTTGTCCTGGTGCTGGGATGGGTGGAGGAGGGATACCGTCCTTCCCTACCATGGTGTGGTTGTACAGGTGCATCGCACTAGGGTTGGGCTGTCCCTCCATCGTTACAGAGCTGTGATTGTACTCGAACCGGTGGTCCTTATCTCCACTAAAAACCATATTACTGGGTCCGGTAGCTGCTGCTGGAGGGAAAGCGTCCGGGTGGCCTGGTGGCAGGACCCCTGCAGCGTTTGAGGAGTTGGCAGCTAGCCCGGGCCCACTGAAAACATCTCTCAGTGTGTGAGGTGGCAGGCCTCCACCTAACATGTGACCCATGTAGCTGTCTGCAAAGCCTGCAGGAGTAAAGGGTGGAGGAGGTGGGTGGCTGTATTCAGCCCCGTACCCGGAACCCTCTGCAGAAGGGAGAGGTGGGTAGTCTGGCTCTGGGGGCCGACCTCCATCGATTCCACTTGCTGAAGCAATAGGGGGAGCGTGGCCAGTTTGGGGTTCGGGCGGTGGCTGCCGGTAGTCTAGGTCAGCATGTGGGGGTGGTTCTGGAGGCTCAGGTGGTCTCTGGTCTGGGGGCAGGATGGGCACTCCCCCTACCTCAGATACTTWAAAAAAARGAAAAAAGAATTTGTTACACATAACCTGACACATGTAACATCTGGCTTACTAATAGAACTTTTATCACTTTGTGTTTCATAYAAGGTTTAAGTAAGAAACAAACAATTTTAGAAAATTTGCCAAAAAGGGCTCACCTGGAGACACAGGGCTGGGCTCTGGAGGCTGTTTCACCTCTGGAGGTAGAAGCGGCGCTGCTGTAGTCACTCCAGCAGGGTTGGTGCTTTCTGTTCCRTCTCCACTGTCACTGACTTCCTGCCTCTGAGCCTGCTGGGCCTGCAGGAGCTGAGCCAGCAGCATGGTCATGGCAGTCTGAGTGGCGGACGCGGCCTCGCCCTCTGGAACACTTGACGGGGCAGACGTGGGGGGCGACGGAGGCTTGGGCATTGGTGGTGTGCGAGGTACCCCTGCTGGTGCAGGGGGCTGGGGAGGCTTGGCAGGTGCGGGCTGAGGTGGAGGTTCGGATGGGTCGGAGGGAGCTAAGGCTTTTGTGAGCTGCTGTAACGTCTCCTGGTTGACTTTAGTGCCCATAGACTGAACAAACTGGGCTGGGTTGACGGCACTCTTGGGCTGACCAAACAAGTTCAGGAGGACCGCCAGCTGCTCCTGTGTGAACTGGGAGTTTGGACCTTTTGGATCTGCATAAAAAAATWACAATTTTCAACTACAAATAATCTATTAGAGTACAAAATCAGTCAAGACAAAAAAAGCCAGAAGTACAGCTGATTATGTGTGCATACATCTCATTTTTGCTTCAGATGAACTACAAACTTTTACAGACACTTGTTTTTATGAGTGACTAGACAATCAATAGTAAGAGTATCGACTCTTACCAAGCAGAGAAGAAGCGGCTGTATTCTGAGCTTTGATGCCTCCAGGAGCAGGGAAGCCCTGTGGAGTGTTGCTGCGACTGTCATCAAGGCCGAGCTCCTTTCGGGGCACCTTCGGCGCCACGAGCTCTTCTGGCATCTGCTTCTGTCGCCGACGTTTCTTACTCCACAGCTCATGACAGTCCTGCCAAAGCGGAAGACTGCAGAGACAGAGCACGTTCAAATGCGGAGAAACACGCGAAGAATCTGATAACCATTGTTTACACGCTGTAGGATCAAAACACCGACGCAGCATCGAAACAAAACATACTCTGGTGGAGGCATCTTGTCTGGATCCACATCCTTGAGAAACTCGCTGTTCAGAGCTTGTTCGGCTGCGCAGCGTTTGCTGGGGTCCAAGTTCAGCATGTGGTCAAAGAGATCCAAGGCTGAAGGTGGGATGCTGAATGAAAACAGTAGCACAAGAGCACATCCACATGAAATAAAGGAGGGCCAACTTTCAGAAAGTTACGTGCATTTAATTAACTCACAAAGCAAACTCCTCTCTTAAACGTCTCCTGTATTGCTTCTTTGGTTTCATGGTGTTGAAGAAGGGAAGCTTTATAACATCTGGCCAAACAGCAGGACAGGGACTGCCACATATTCGACTGAAAAACAGAAATCCATTTGTTTCAGCAGAATGCAGTCAAGTGCAAACATAAATAGGCAATAAAAAGAATTGTTTCACCGCTTTATTACTGAAATCCCTGTGTAATAAAAGTAACACAAAAACGACAACAGTTCCCCCCTCCTAAAAACTAATAAATAGAATGTGTTCCAATGGCAGAGAAGTTCTGTAATTTCTGCTTTTATGAAAAAGTTCACAACCAAAGCTAAAACATTTCACTTCTGTTTGGGTCCAACTTATCGTAAAAATCCTTAAAACTATTCAGCTCACACTTACCTGATGAGCTCCAACTGTGCAAGCTCCTGGTTTGCCTGAAAGATGGGTTTCTTTGTGAAAAGTTCCCCAAGAATGCACCTGTAATGGTCCAAATACCAGACAAATCATGATTACATAAGCTGTTGAAGCATATTTAAAAACAATAAACAACGAGTTCGTACCCGCAGCTCCAGACGTCAATAGCAGGTGTGTACCTCTCCTCTCCCAGGAGTAATTCTGGGGGACGGTACCACAGCGTGATCACTTTATTGGTGTATGGTCGACTGAAAATGAAAGTATATATTTGTTAGTTTCAGAAACCACACAAAAAGGTTCAACACACAATATAACCTTAAAAAACACTAAAYGCATAGTTGATTAATATAGATTTACCTTTCTTCTGAGTTGTACAGTCGAGCGAGCCCAAAGTCTGCGAGCTTAATCTGACCTCTGATTAAAAGAAAGCATCGGTTTAAGCAAACGACAATGTAAAAACACAGAAGAGTGTTTTATCTGGTGAAAACCTCCAGCAGTCTCACTTGTTATTAAGAAGTATATTGGAGCATTTGATGTCTCTGTGCAGGAAGTTCTTCTTGTGGCAGTAGTCCAAGCCCTCCAGCAACTGTCTCATAAAAGACTTGATGTGGTTCTCGTTGAAATGGACCAAGCCAGACTCGAGCAAACCCATCAAGTCGTGGTCCATGTACTCAAATACGAGATAAAAAGCACCTAAGATGAGGGGCGTAAAGAAAAAAAGATTTAGTAAGTACAGAGTTGAAGCTGGTGTGATTTTTAACAGATGCTGTCGAAAATCAGACACCTTTATCGTTCCTGAAGTCCAGAGCATCTTCCTTGTCCGTCACAATCTCCTTCATGTTTATGATACTCTTGTGATTGAGCTGTCGCAAAATTTTTATCTCTCTGATGGCTGTGATAGGGAAGCCCTCCTTTTCATTGTCCAGGCGAACTTTCTTCAAAGCCACCATTTCACCTGATAAATGAAAACAAAGAACTGATCTATCTTGTTCTAAACAGTGCTTCAAGTCTCATAGGGCATTTGAAACTCCAGAAAACACTTGTGTCACCAACCAACATATTCATAAAAACAAACAAAAGCACTGGTAGATCGATTACTGAACACTTACCAGTATCTTTGTCTTTAGCTTTGTAGACTTGACCGTAGGTACCCTCCCCCGTGATTCCAATAATCTCAAACTTGTCCACGCATCGTTTCCCCCAGTATATTTCAGTTTCTTTTATCTCACCAAATCTCGGACCACAAATTCTGGGAACAACAGGAAAACATCTCGAATGAAACGAACGGCATACAACGCACGACTGAAAAGGCAGTCGAGAACTATGCACATCAAAAACTTACTTGGGCCTTCGACGAAGTGTGTGTGACTTTTTGTCATCGGGAGGGCTGTGCGGAGAAGATGCTGCACCGCCGGGAAGTTCAGGRGGCAGAGGCAGGTCAGCGAGGAGTTGACGAGTCTTTTTCTCCATCTTCTTTTTTCCTGAGACTGAGCTGTCCTTTAAGCTGCAGATAAGGAGGATCATGAGCAAATCATTATAACAAATATACAAAACACACATTAATAAGGGTTTCCCCACTTTGAGTGGAATGTATTATCATACCTTTCTTTGTCTGAAGGGTCAGTTGTTATTTGGGGCAACGGCAGCGGTGGCAGTGTAGAAATAACTAGACCAGCAGCCCGTTCCTTGTCTTTGCTCTGTGCGGATGCTGGTGCTTTCCTCTTGTCCCGATGGACAGAGTCATCCCTTCCCTTTCCGTCTCGCTCTCTACTGTTCTGCTGCTCCGTGATTTTCTTGGACAACTTGTCGGAAGGGGACTGAGGCTGGCTGGACGTGGGGGTTCTGGGTCCCTTCTCCGGTTGAGGCGGCGAGGGAGGGCGTCCCTTCCTGGCTGTGTGGTTTGACTTGGGGCTGGGCTGAGGTGCGGACGAGGAACCCTTGGTTGGAGTTGATGTGTCGCTTGCGTTCTTGGCCTTGGCCGCTGCTTCTGCAGCTTTAACCTTTTTCTGCTTGCTGAGCTCAGCTGCGAGGCTGGATTTGAACGTGAGTGTGCTTGGCGAAAGACTGGAGGGGCGGCTGCGGGAGCGAGAGTGGCGGTGACGGCTGTGAGAGCGCGAAGGTCTTGATGTCGAATATGGACTTCTGCTACGTGACCTTGCAGATCGCCTGGAGAAGTAAAAAAATTAAAAAAGTTCTTTAGAATCGTTTTTTACAAATCAAACATAGCAAGTCATTAAGGCCAGTTCACTAACCACTGAATTATATATATA